TACCACACTCCCTGCCCTTGGAAGCCTTATAAGAACCTGCTACAGGAGAGGGACTGTGAGCAACATCACATGAGAGGTGTTTCTAGGACCAAGGTGAAACTGTCAGGCTTCTGTCTTAAGGTTACCAGAGGTCCCCGTTGCCTGGGGACAGTCCCCAGATTTACAAATCAGTCCCCATGCAAAATCCATTGAAGTTGAAAAGTGTCCCTGGATTAATTGAAATCTGGTAACCTTATTCTATCTTATTTTTGTTTTTGGGTGTTGTAATCTTGTTATATTTATAGTTCTGAAATTTTGTTTACTATGTTGGTATAGTTGCTATTGTACTGTTGTTTGGTTATGTTCCAGGCATCTTGTATACAGTACGTGAAATCTTATATAGTATGGAACACCATCTAAAAAGCAAAACACTCACCAAACTCCACCACAATCGCACCCTCCAAATCTCCTTTCTCAACCTCTAACTCTCCTCAGAGGTTGGTGCAATGGCTCCTGGGACTGCTGGCCATTTTCCCACTCTTTCGCAGTATTTTTGCAGGTTTCCCACTCTTTGGGTGCCATTTTTGCCCTTCCCGTGCTTCTTTGCAGTTTAAAACAATTTATTTATTTCCTGGCGCCGTTTGTATGCGCAGTTGCACATGAGTTGAACATGCCTAAGTAGGGAGACGTCTGTATTATCAAACTGTTTTGCAGTGTTTGATTTTGAAGTGCCTTCCTGTCTCCTTTGTTGTGAGTCGCTTTGAGCAGTGTGTGTGTGTGTGTGTGTGTGTGTGTGTGTGTGGAAAAGCAGCATACAAATAAAATGGCAAACTAATGAAGTGGAACATATGACTTTTAAACACATTCATTAATTTACCATAATCGCAAACCATTCCTTTCAGCGCTCACTGAGCCAAGCAGGGTGTGACCCAACTCCCAATGGCTTCGTGAGGCACCAAGTCATGGCAGGTCATCTATCAGGCTCTTCTGCAAAGGGCTACACAAAGCCGCCAAGAAACAATGGGTGCCTTGTGCATGTCAAAAGAGCCACAGTCATCTCATTCCAGAGAAGCAACGGGGAGGAAGAGATCTCTGTGGCGCAATGCTGGGTGGTCCTAGCCTCTTGGGCACAGCAGCCTCTCAAGAATCTACCCATCCTTAATCAATTAAGAAACTTTCCCCAAAAACAGACCAAAAAAGCCATTCAGTGGGTCCTGAGGGAGGGAGGAGGGGAGCAAAGTCAGACAGAGAAAGGGGCTGGATGGTGATGCAGAGGGCAGGGCTGATCAATCTCCCAAGGGCTTTTGAAGGGTTTCTTTTCACTGTGATGTACTTCTGCTGCAGCTGGAAAAGTGAAACTCCAAAGTGCCAGCACACAGGATCTGCTGCCACATGTGGAGTGATGAAGCCATAAAACTCAACTATAAAGTTAAATAATTTACCATAAATATCTGAGGCTCCGGGATTATTCTCTGCATTGAGCAGCCGAGACTCCGACGATCTCTGCATTCAGCGTGCCGCAGATGGCAGCGGAGCCAGACAAGAGAGCCCTTGACAAGGCTCCATGGTTGTAATTACTCCTGACACAGCTGCAGTTTATTCCGACGCCTCCTTTGGTTTGGGCAGAGACAGGGGGAGAGGAGTACATACATTTGGAGAAGAAATGATTTTCACCCATTGGACAATAAAGCGTTTGAAATGTAAAGCGAGGCGGGGAGGGACACAACTTCTTGTGACACTTTCTGAAACTTGGACAGAAGGACGCGCGCTTGGCTTCCAAGGCAAAACTAAAAATAAATTCAGCCCCGTGGCAATGTTAATAGAATACTGAGCAGCTACAACAATCTAGCAATTGCTCCTGTTCTCGCTGACAGTTAGTGGGAAACATCTGCACCTTTTGCATCCTCCAAAGATCTGCATTCTTGAAAGGAAAACTGAAGTTCCTTACAAGAGGGTTAGTGCGGAACTCTTCCCGGCAGGCAGCTGCTAAGGCAGAGTCCATTGGGGGCTGCTCCTATCACAGACCAAGATTCTCTTGGTTTTCTTCATAGCCTAAGACCAACAGGATTGTGAAAGTCCTCCAGTCTATTTGCTTTAAGGAGTCTCCTTTTGTTCAAGGATACAATATGAAAGCCAATGTGGTACAGGAGTTAAGACTGGTGTTGGACTGGGACGGAGACCAGAGTTCAAATCCCTGCTCTGCCATAAGTGGAGCTCACTGGGTAACCTTGGATGAGTCACTGCTTCTGAACCTTACCTACCCCACAGGGTTGTTGTGAGGAGGGTAATAACAGTGTACACCACCTTTAGTACCCTGAAGAAAAAGGTGAGATAGAAACGCTTAAAGTAATAAATGAAAACAATATTTTCTAAAATGTATTATTTCAGATATAGGTCTGTTCTGTATGTAATGCTAGGCCAAACTATGGCTTAGCATGAACTAGCAAGGATGTGGGTACAGCTGTTTTGCTCCTTCCCTAGTCCTGTGTCCAGGGGCAGAGGAAGGGGGTCAGTGGGGGCAGTCCGCCCTGGGTGTCACCACTGAGGGTATGTGTGACAAAATGCCAGGCAGCACTCACTACAGGGCCTGCAGCGCACCTGAGCCATGCGCCTCTCCCCAAACGGTCTGCCTGCTGCCTGCCCCTCAGCTGTAGGGCAGCTGAGAGGGAGGAGGCAGGCAGACTCCTTGAAGGCCCCGTGGAGCGTCCTGCCCCAGCTCGGCCCGCCCCCAGGCACAGGGCATGCGTGCTGCCCCAGGCACCCGATTGGCTTGCTCTGCTGCTGCCTGTGGCTGCACTACCCATGGTTTGGCTTACTGTTACATCTGAGCCTGAGCTGGGGGGTTTGTCTCACTCTGAACAAGTAATGAAATGCAGCAAAGCAAACTGGGCCACAGAATACATAATCATGTTCTCTGTGAAGCTCAGATGTTGAAATTTACTATTTTGAATAATTAGGCAGCAACTGAATTATGACAGTGAGAGAGGTTGGGCGGCCATCTGCCAGGGATTCTTTAGCTGTGATTCCTGCATTGCAGGTGGTTGACCTAGATGACCCTTGGAGTCTCTTCCAACTCTACAGTTTTATGATTCCATGATCCTATGAACTACAGGCCTGGCTACCTTCTTTCAGTAGTGGCTGGTGGGCCACGGAAACAGAGCCAAGTGGGTTTGGAAAGGGCTCACTCAAGACATTTTGGCGCCTGAGGACAGAGCCATAGCTATGGGGGGGGGGGAGGCTAGCCAGGTATTTTGCCCTGGGTGAAGCCTCCAGAGGGGCACCATTGAGGCTCCCAGCCTGTGTGTGTGTTTGTGTATGCAAATGCACATGGGGGTGCCAAACTGGGTCTTTGACCCGGATGAAATAAAGCCTAGTTTTGTCTCTGCCTGAGGAGAACCACAAAATGGTGTGTCCCCCAGCCCAAGAAGAAGCGATGAGGAAAGACTTACATCCATTACAAGGGGCAAATAAGGATCTACATCAGGATGAAGTGGGGAGTGAAGATCTATATTGGGAACATCTGACACAACACCAAGGAGTAGTAAGAGGCCAGGCTAACCACAACCATTTTAACAAGGTTTGCTGTTATTAGCTAAGTAAACAGAAGCTGTAACAGTACCAGACACCCTCACCCCACCCCCATCACTGGGCCTACCTAGGGTGGGACCATAGGCACCAACTTGAACAAAATATTGGGGGGCTGCCCCCCCCCCGCAAATACTTCTCCACCCTCCCTACCCTTCTGTGGAGCACAAGTTCCTTGGCCGTGCGTAACTGGGCACAGACCTCCCCTGCCTCCCCGCTCACTCGCCTCTCGCCCCCCACCAACATGCAAGAAATTTCTTCCCATTTGCCTGCTTGCCTGCCACCCACCTCCATCCCCACCTGCTACTGGTCGGCCTGCCCACCTGCCTCTCCCCAGCTGCACTGGCTCAAACACAGAATGGTACCAAAAGCAGGTGAAAAGAGAGCTGCACCCTGCTTGGGTGGGGATGGCTGCCCAAAGGGGGAGATGGAGGTAGGGAGGCACTAACCTGCAGAAAATATTGGGGGACCTGTCCTCCCATTTTTATTGGGGTGCCCAAGGGACCATGTTCTGGATCCCTGATGCCTTAGTACTGCAGCTGGGGCTTGTACGTACTGTACTGTTTTCACTCTGTTTGTTTTGTGTGGTTGCAATCTGATCGTACCACAAAGTTTTATTGTTACTGTTTTTGCATTGTTGTAAAATCTGTTGCCAACCACCTGTTTGCAGTATCCGAACAATACTGAGCCCTCATCTGCTAGCACCCATATTCATTAAGATTGTGTGATTGTTCTGTATACTAGGCACGCCGCTAAAAGGTTTATTTTAAATATGTGCTTAATAATCCCCTGCTTTTTAAATGTGCAATAACAATCTATTACATTCTAATTAAGTTCTTATTTGAGTCATTTAATTAAGAAAGGGACTATAGCAAGTACCAAAACACTTTGCCTTTCTAGTCTCTCCAGGATCCACAGTTTCTCACACAGAAATTAACACTCACTGCAAACACCTCATTTGCCTGCCTGTTTAATCAGTTTGTGCATGTTTTTGGAGGGTGATGAATGGTAGTGCCTAGTGATACTGGTCTGGTTCACACCTCACTTTAAATCATAGATAAACTAAATCGTAGTTTAAAGGCAAACATGCAGGGTGCTTCACTGTATTGCTGAAATAGCGGATACTGTGCTCTTTCCCCAATAGCTAAGGCATGGTCTGGCTTAGAACCACAGCCCATGCATTGTTCCTCTCCAGATAAACCATGGTTTGCTTGAAGAGAAACAAACCATGAGCACATATTCAGATGCAAGGCTGCTTTTATATTACTTATTACTACATTTTTAATTATTTATTATTTATTTATAGTTATATCCCACCTTTTTCTCAAGGTGCCAAACACTTTTCTTCCCCCTTCTCCTTTAATCCCCACAACAACCCTGAGAGGTAGGTTAGGCTAAGAGGCCATGACTGGCCCAAGGTCACCTAGTAAGCTTTATGGCTGAGTAGGGATTTGAACCCTGGTCTCCCAAGTCATGGTCCGGTGTGCTAACTGCCACACCACACTGGATCTCACCTTTATAACCCACCTTTCATCCAAGGTGGGATATTCGGTTTCTCCCTCCTTGCCATTTCTAGCCTCAATGACAACCCTATGAGCACTGGCAGAGGAAGAGGGGTGCGGGAGGAGCGCAGCGCCCCCGACAGCACAATTCCGGTGGGGTGCCATCGCGGCTCCCCACCCCACACCCCACATGCTGGGCACCACGCCGCCACAGGCAGTGAGCCATGCTCCCACAATGCGCACCATGCCCCCGGGATGCATGCCATGCCCCTGCAGGTGGTGTGCTACAACCTTGGGATGTGCGCCAGCCACGCCCTCGCCTGCTCTCCGCCCCCGGTACCAGAGCATGAAGTTCCGCCACTGCCTGTGAGGTAAGTTAAGCTGAGAGACAGAGAGACTGACCCAAGGTCACTCACAAAGTTTCATGACTCAGTTGAGATTTTAATCCTTGTCTTTGGAGAAAAACAAACCACTGGCCTAGGTTCAGGTGTGATGCTAAGGCAGACCATGCTGGCAACAAAGCAGCAGCAGGATTGGGGGAGGAGCAGCCTGCCTGTAATTTCAGCAGCAGGGACTAGAGCCTTGAAACCATACCTAGGATTTGATCTGTTGTCATTTTTGATGATTATTATTAAATTATTATGTTGCCCTTCATCTGTAGATCTCAGGGCAGTTCACAGGATAAAAATACAAGATAAAAACACAAAATACATAATAAAAACAAGAACAAAACAATACTCCCCCCCCCAGCCTCCCAATAACAAATTTAAAAGGATGCAGGATGTTAATCAGCCCAAGGCCTGGTTGAACGAGGCCAGAAACCCAGGGAGGCAAGTGGGGACTGACCTTCTGCCACACTAACTGAAGGTGTGTGGTGACATTTATACAAGGAAAAGCATTTAACTTGTGCAGTGACTGAAACAGGAAAAGATCCCAGAGCTGAAGCTGCAGGTACAAATTCAGTCTTAAGCATCATCCAAGAATAGGGTTAAACATAAGCAAGGGTCATCCAACACATGGGCATAGCCAAAGGGGGGGCATGGGAGCAGCTGCCCCCTCTCAGATCAAGTAAATCAATAAAAATACTTCACTAACTGAGGATCTGCACCCCCCCTAACCTAAATCCTGGCTATGCCCATGATCCCATATCCTGATCCCTCAAAGTCTCAAAACTGTCCCCCACCACAGACACACACAATGACACCGTTTTTTGTGTGTGTGTGTTTTAAAGATGCCTGCAAAAGTCATTGTCACCAGAAGCCGAACAGACGCCAGCAATGGGCTGTTAAATGCTGCAACACGGAGCCCACTCTGATAAATTGAAGTAATTGAAGAAAAATGCAAAACAGTCTGCAAATTGGTCAGACAGGAGACTAAAAGCTTCTCAAATCTGAGTGCTCACCTCTCAGTAGCACCTTCTCAAATGATTCTAGCCATAATTTACAGGCTCTCCTCCCTCACCCCTCTTTTCCCTCTACAGGTAGTTTTTAAAGGGCATTCTATTATTACTATGTGTGACATGCACAGTTGTGTCTGGGAAACAGCTGTGGAACTGTAATGCTAACAAACAATTTCACAGAAAATTCAGTTTGCAGAACAGGGAAATGTGACATGCAGCGGGGTCCAGGGCACTGTCCTCCGGTTCTCTCACTTGCCAATCAAGGCAAAAAAATAAAAATGGAAAGAGGCAGAACATAAGAAGAGCCTGCTGCATCAGGCCAGCGGCCCATCTAGTCCAGCATCCTCTTCTCCCAGTGGCCAACTGAATGCCTGTGCAAAGCTTGCAAGCAGGACACAAGCACAAGAGCTGCCTCCCCTCCTGTGGTTTCCGGCAACTGGTATTCAGAAGCACTGCTGCCTCCAGGTGTGGAAGATCATAGCCATAATGGCTAGTAGTCATTGACAGCATTGTTCTACTCCATGAATTTGTCCAATCTTATTTAAAGCCATCCAAGTTGGTGGCCATCACTGCCTCCTGTGGCAGTGAGTTCCATAGTTTATCTGTGCACCTGCGGGAAGAAGGACCTTCTCTTACCTGCGCTAAATCTTCCAACATTCAGCTTCATTGGACACCCCCAAGTTCTAGTACAGTGGTACCTCGGGTTAAGTACTTAATTCATTCCAGAGGTCCATTCTTAACCTGAAACTGTTCTTAACCTGAAGCACCACTTTAGCTAATGGGGCCACCTCCTGCTGCTGCCGTGCCACCGGAGGAGGATTTCTGTTCTTATCCTGAAGCAAAGTTCTTAACCTGAAGCACTATTTCTGGGTTAGCGAAGTCTGTAACCTGAAGCGTATGTAACTTGAAGCGTATGTAACCCAAGTTACCACCATATTAGAGGATGTGCAGAAAAGTTTCCTGAGCACTCCTTGGCCTGTAGGGCCCCTCTAGAACCATCTTGTGTGGCAAATCAGGTGGCTTGCTGGCCAATTTTAGGGGACATGGTGCAGGCAAGAGACAAACCAATGTGACCTTATGCACCCTCCTTCTGGTGTGGGCTAGAGCAGGCTTCTGACACTTCCTCTCAGGCTGTCTTCCTGGTCATAGTTACTCAGGCAGGAGTAGGCTCCCCTGAATACAATGGGTGTTTTGCATCTGAGAGTTGGTGGTGGTATAGAGGTTACAGTGCTCTAAAAGGACCTGGGAGACCAGGGTTCAAATCCCCACTCAGCTCACCGGGTGACCTTGGGCCAGTCACTGCCTCTCAGCCAAACCTATCTCACAGGGTTGTGAGGATAAAATGGGGGTGAAGTCTGTAGGCCACCCTGAGGTCCTTGGAGGAAAGGTGGGATGTAAATACTGTATATACTTTCTTAAAATGCTTACAATTGCACTCTGACAGTCTAGAATGGCTGTGTGGAAAACCAGCAGTAAATGGAAGATGTCAGAGAACAAGAATGAATTCTTCTCTCTCCAGGCAAACCAGGAATCGTATCTAAAGGCTATTTTATTAAGATGCAGTTACTACACAAACACTTTCAAACGGAAATAAGAGAGAGAGAGATACTTACTCCACATTGCCTCTAAGCTAAGATTGTAAGTTTGTTTAAATATTTATATGCCACATTCTCTGACATTCAAAGGTACTTGAAGCAACTTAACAAGAAGAAAAGCACAGAAGTAGCAAGGAAAAGCAAAGTCCAGATTTATGGCCTCAGGTTCAGGTAGCATTTTCAGCAGGAGAACAATTGCACAGTCAGAACTCAAGGCACTTATCCCAAGGACCAGATGAGGCATCTTAAAAGTAAAGGCCCATTCAAAATAACCAAATGCACAGAAATAGCATAGGGGACACCTGGCTTCACAGCAGTACTATGGGTCTTAGTAAGCCACAAGCTTAACATGAGTCAACTGTGTGATGCAGCAGCAAAAATCACTAATGCAATTCTAAGCTACAGCAACAGAAGTGTATTGTCCAGATCAAACAAAGTAATAGTACTTCTCTATTCTGCCTTGGTTGAATTGATGCTTTTGAATTATGGTGCTGGAGGAGACTCTTGAGAGTCCCATGGACTGCAAGAAGATCAAACCTATCCTTTCTGAAGGAAATCAGCCCTGAGTGCTCACTGGAAGGACAGATCCTGAAGCTGAGGCTCCAATACTTTGGCCACCTCATGAGAAGAGAAATCTCCCTGGAAAAGACCCTGATGTTGGGAAAGATGGAGGGCACAAGGAGAAGGGGACGACAGAGGACGAGATGGTGTTCTCGAAGCTTCTAAAATGAGTTTGACCAAACTGCAGGAGGCAGTGGAATGTTGGGATACTGCCAGGGAGACAAAGTCCATCATGGCCCCACGTCGGCTGCCAGACGATCCATCGATCTCCCGTAGACACGCAGTATCAGCAATTAGCGACACGAGCTCCAGAAAATAGCTTGCCACATTCTGGAACTGATGCACACTCTATCAGCAGATAATTCACAACAGAAGTTGCACGCAGGAGAGCATATTTACAAGTTTATTCAGCGTTGGTCAGAACAAAGAAAAACATGACTGCCTGCTTCAGTGTCTCGACACAGAGAGAGAAACGAAAGCAATAGAAAACATAAACTTCCCGTGAACAGGAAATGCGCAGACTCTGTGACTCACAAAGCCTGCTCCCTTTTAGGGTGGAACGGAAATATCCTAACATGGAAGACAGGAGTGCTTGGCGTGCTCTGGTCCATGGGGTCATGAAGAGTCGGAAACAACTAAACGACTAAACAATAACATTCTGCCTTGGTCAGACCTTGTTTGGAGTACTGGGCACCACCGTTTTTAAACAACACTGACAAACTGGAACATATACAGATGAGGGTGGCCAAGATGATCAAGGGTCTGGAAACCTAGCCTGACGAGGAACAGTTGAGGGAGTTGGGTATGTTTAGACTGAGAGGTGATTCAGATATCTGAATGTCTGTCACATGGAAGATGGAAGATGGAGAAAGCTTGTTTTCTGATGCTCCAGAGGGCCGGGTCTGAACCAATGGATTCAAATGACAACGATGAAGATTCCAGCTAAACATTAGGAAGAACTTTCTGATGGTAAGAGCTGTTCTACACCTCAGAATGTGATGGACTCTCCTTCATTGGTGGTGTCCAAGCAGAAGTTGGATGGCCATCTGTCAGGGATGCTTGAGTTTTGATTCCTGCCTTTCAGGGGGTTGGACTAGATGACCCTTTGTTTCCCTTCCTATTCTACAACTCTATTGCTCTAAAACCCCACACTGCAGCAGGGAAGGGCCATGTGTCAGCCAATCCAAGCTCCTCCTCAGCACTTGGGACTTCTTTGAGTCAATTTCCTTAGGCTCCTAGGGCTCAACAATATAGGCAACTATAAATCAGCTAGATGCAAAACCTGATGGGAGTTTGAGTCCCAAAACACCTGTAGAGCTACTACCGTAGGTCCCTACCCTGGAGGTTGAAGGCAGCTCAGCTGCTTTCTCCTTTCCAGATTCTGTCAGCTGACATCTCAAGGTGGCTCTCTCTTGAATGTGCCAATTATTACCCAGAATGGCTGATTTCAAGAGTAAT